CCTTCACCTCGAACGTGCGACCGTCGTATATGGCAGCGATCATCTTGATGTATGGGTCAGTTAGGCCAAAACGGTCAAGGGCTACCAACAGCGCGGATGGGGTCCACCCGGTCGAACGCCTTGGACCAATCTAGCAAAACGGCAGAAAATTTGCTGTCTTTTTCGGCCCACGCTTGCTCGATGTACCTGTGCATGCTGAAGACGGCATCCCTGGCGCCCCGTTTCTTTCGGAAGCCAAATTGGCTCGGCCGAAGGCGCTCCTCGGCGCCACCATCGGCAATTCTGGCCAGCAGAAGCGCGGCCAGGACCTTGTAGCTCACCGTCAGCAGCGAGAAGGGCAGGTAATTAGCCGGCAGAGATTCGTCTCCTTTCTTGTAGATTGAGCTGACCCGGCTGTGCCGCCACGTCTGCGGTATCTGTTTCTGCCGCCAGCAGTGGTTGAGCAATTCCAAGAGAACGGAGCAAGCATCATCACTTCCGCGCAGAACTCTCCAGAAGTCGGGCGGGATGTCGTCTGGTCCAGCTGCTTTCCCTGCTCGGAGGTTGCCGAGCACCTTGCGCAGCTCGGCCGCAGTGAAATCCTCTGCCGGCAAGTCAAGATCCCGCGCAGACCTCTGTCCAAGTGGGATGGGCCGCGAAGGAGGGGGTGGGGGCCACTGCACATCTGCGAGGTAAGTTGCCATGGTCTCCGCTCTGTGCGTGCTGTCCACCAAGTCGCCCTTGACGTCTCTCAGTCTTCCTTGGGGCTTCACCCCTCTCTTTCTGAATCGTCGGATGCTCTCCCAGCTCCCGTTTGCAAGCATGTCATCCAACCTGGCCGCTCTGTCTTTTCGGGCAGACTGTCGAACCTGGCGGCTGAGCTCTTGTTCTAAAGTGAACTGGCGCGATGTCCGGGCTTGGTTTCGCAGCTCAACCAGGCCCAGCGTCCCCCTGCGGATCCAAGGCCTCTTTGCTTGCGCCTGCCGGCCGTCCAGACACTGTTCTGCTGCTGATTCCAGACATCGAACAACGTGTTGTGCATGGTCGTCGACGCCTGGCGGGGCAGGCCCCGCCGCTGCCGCCTTGACAAATGAGCCGACGAATTGTTCCGCCACAGACGGCCGTTGCAGAGATGCCGGGTCCAATCTCGGAGAGCGGCCGGTCGGCCCCGATTTTGGCATATCCACGTCAAGAGTTGCTTGAACGAGAAAATGATGGGAGGCAAAGGCAAGAGAGCGGTCAGACTTCACCGATCGAACAACGTGTTGCCAACGTTCGTCAATGATGAGATGGTCAATCTCAGCGAACTTCTTGCATGTGATTTCGCTCGTCGGGTCCGTGCCCAAGTCGCAATGCGTCACCTTCTCGACCACTGGTCTATCCAGGAAAATGTTCGCAACCACCATGTTCAACGTAATGCATTGCTCTGCCAACAAATGCTGATTGCTCGTGGCGCCGGGGACGCACGCCGGGTCACCGAAGGCGTGCGGACCGACGACCGCCGTCTCCTCGTGGAAGTTCGGCGGAAACCGGGCGTTCATATCGCCGAACACGATGACTGGGCCATGCGGCTTGCAGCGGACAACGGCGGCATGCAGATCCGTGAAGAACGAGTACCGGACGTCGAACTCACGAGCTGATTGCGGGGCATACGCTGTCACCAGAGCGAGGGACCCTCCCGGCACACGGATCTTCAGCGTTGCAATGCGGTTGCCGAGTTGTGCGAAACCCATGACGGAATGGCGCAGCCACGGGGCGACCACAAAACCAACTCCTGCGTATTCTCGCTTCCCGGCCGAACCACCCGATAAAATGATCAAGCAACCGTCCTGCTCAAAGTATGGTGCCCCAGGCACGTGCGTTTCTTGCAAGCACATGACATCGATCCTACGTTGCTTCATGATTCCCGTGATCTGCTCAAGTTTGGTCGAGTCCGTGTCGATGCCCAGGCCTTCAACGTTCCAAGAGGCGAAGGAGCATACATCGCTTGGTCTGCATGGTTGTAACTGTTTGAAATGATATGGCCTTCCGTGTTGAGGGACAAATTCAGCTGGCATGCAAGGTACATGACGGGCCCCACTCGGCGGCCAAAGGGCATCATGTAGTGAAACTGTGTGTGGTGAAGCTCGTGGCTGGCGACCGCACGGCTGAGCTAATAGACAGCTCGCGCGGGCAGTCGCACTGCCGTGGTTGATCTGCAAACCAATGTGCCGTCGTGACCCCTAGTAGGAGCCACCCGGTCCGCCACGAGCACTGGCCGCGCTAGGGTGTCCGCCTGGCTGCTGGTGCCCCTTGTCCGTCTTGCCCTTGCCCTTGCCCTTGTAGTTCGTGCCCTTCATGCCCTTCGAAGCCTTCTCGAGCAGCTCCGAGGATTTCGCGTGGAGCTCTTTGATACGAGGGTGGTTGTGGAGGTCGCTCCAAGTCTTCCAATCCCCCTGCCACTCATAGTGCACAGACTTGTCCTCGACCCTCGCCGTCAGAGCGTGCTCGCCCCCTACTGTGACGACGTACGGGTTACCCTCGCTCACGGAGATCGTGTATGGAATCCCCCATTGCTCCTTCAGCACCCGCTTCAAGCCAAGGCAGAAGCTGCGAGCTGCTCGTTCCGCTGGGGGGCGGTCCTGCGTGGCCCACACCTTTTTGCTGCCGTTGGTCAGGGCGGCCGAGCGCAAGAGGTCGACAGCACTATCCCGAAGTATCTGAGAAGGAAACTCTGCGAATAGAATGCCAGAGAAATTGCCTTTTGAATATGTTTTCGTAGGAGTTGGGCCATTGAGGTACGATAGCTTATCCTGCAACCGCGTCGTCGCCATCGTGAGGTCCCCGAGCCCGTCCAGGTTGCCGATGACCATGCTTACCGCTCGTTTGTCCGTGGTCTCGGAGGTCTGGTCCGGCAAGCGCACCTTGTTGTGCCCGCCCTCGCTGATCAGGTACTCGTGGATGCACTCGCGGATCTTCGCCTCCATGGCATCGGCCGATGGGAATGCAGGAGCCTCGAATGTCTTGCAAAGCTGTTCGAGCTTGTCCACCCGGATGTCCTGCACATTCAGGCGCTGCTCCATGGTGTCCAAGCGTTGGGTCAGCGCCTCCCTCATCTCAACGACGGAGCCGTCGAGCTTCGAGAAGTCGTTGCGGAGGCCGGCGGCTGCCGAAGTTACTGGGCCGAGCTGCTCCTTGAGCAAGGCAGCAATACCTTGCATGGTGACTCGGCCTCCCAGCCGCGGCTCCTGGATTAGTTCCTCCTCCTCCTCCTCCTCCATCCCTGCGGCGTGCCCTCGAGGGTCGTACGGGGCATCGGCATCAGCTTCGAAATCCGGTTGACGGAATGGTGGGCCCGCATGGTCCGTGGCGTTTTCCTCCGGGTCACCGGGCATCTGCACGTAGCCGTCGCCGCCAAGGAGTGGAGCGAGAGGTGAATCTGGTCCATGGCCCAGGCGCGCCCTCTTGTCGGTCTTCATCTTCATCCACGGGTCGCCGAACAACTTGTCCACTGGAGTGCCGGCCTTCCGGGTGTGATCGCGAGAGGCGGGAGTCGGCGAAGGCAACATGGCTTCAAGCTCTTTCTCGAGATCCATCGCAAAGGTCCTCTCTCGCTGTGGTTTCTGAGTGGGGCTCGTCAAGGCCCTCGCGGGCACCCCAGAATCGTGTTGTTGAGTCGCGTCTTGACTTGAGTCGCGTCTTGGCTTGAGCCACAAAAGTGGCCCTCCTTGAGCCACTAAAGCCCACTAAAGCCTGTAGGGGTCTCCTGGAGTCTCCTAGGGCCTCCTGGGGCGTCCTGGAGCCTCCTGGATCTCGCTTCCTGGAACCACCTGGGGCCTCCTGGACCCCTGCAGGACTTCCTGAGGCGTCGCCGACACAAGCGAACCGCCTGAGACATCCTCGCAATCTGAGCCCTTGGGAGCACCGAAACGAGCGACTCGCATGAGACATCCTCAGAAACTGCTCCGAAAGCAGAGGATGTTGAGCACGCAAACAGGCGAACCGCCTGAGAAGTCCCCCCAAAACTAGTGTGAACGGGCTAGTGTCATGGCCCCTTGCCGCCCCCTTGGGAGTGCCCAAACCAGCGCCTCGCCTGAGACATCCTCAGAAACTGCTCCGAAAACAAAGGATGTTGAGCACGTAAACGGGCAAACCGCCTGAGGGGTCCCCACAAAACTGGCGCGAACGGGCGAGTGTCATACTCCCCTGCCGCTCTCCGTAGAAGCGCTGAAACCAGCGCCTCGCCTGAGACATCCTCGGAAACTTCTCCGAAAACAAAGGATGTTGAGCACGCAAACAGGCAAACCGCCTGAGAGGTCCCCACAAAACTTACGCGAACGGGCGAGTGTCATACACCCGTGCCGCCCCCCTTGGGAGTGCTGAAGCCAGCGCCTCGCCTGAGACATCCTCACACTGTGTGTGTGAGTATGATGAAGAAGTGGTGCGAGTCAGGTGGAGAAGTGTCACTGAGTCTGGGCGGGGCAGAGCGAGTCAGAGTATGAGTAAGTCTGAGTGTGAGTGAGTCCCAGTGTGAGTGAGTCTGGGTGATGAGTGACCTGAGTGGTGAGATAATCTGAGTGACAAGTGAGTCTGAGCGACGAATGAGCCTGTGCAACTGGTGATGAGTGATCTGAGTGATGAGAGAGTCTGCGTGAGAGGCGAGTCTGAGCGACGAGTTAGTCTGAGTGATTGGCTCTGAGATTGAGTGGGTGGGAGGTATCCGGGTTCCGGTTCGCTCCGCGCGGTCTAAGTAATGACACTAATCCCATCCTTGGGATATGGGAAACAGATGCTCCGAGAGCACAGGCCTCTCAAGCATGAGGGGATCAGCCTGAGCAGCAAACCTCCAGTGGAACACCGACGAAAGATACAGACCTACCAAACTTCAGAATTAACCTGCCATGCATCCTCCTCCTCTTCCTCTTCCTCCAAGCACCAATTTCACTCCAGTAGCGCAGTGGCCGAATCAGCTGGACGACGGCGCTGCTGCGGCTTGCGGCAATGCTCTGGCACTCGCCGTCTTGTGAAGACGTCGGATCCAGCTAGACGGACATTGCGAAGGGCATGCCGTCCAGTCCTAAAAGGTAGTCGTGCACGGTGAAGTTGCACCAGATGTTGCGCAATGACTCGGAAGCATCGCCATCCAACCACTCTGCGACCAGGGCGTTGCGGACAAACGAAATCGACGTCCTTGCAGAGAGAATGGCTCGGTGGCAGAGGAATTCATCAATACCGATTTCGCCAACATGCGTCGTCAGATCACGACGGACAAACACAAGGTCTTGATCGTCGCTCCCGAAGAGGCCGTAGCCTTCCTCGTGGAACAGCGCAACAGCTGCACTGGTGGAGCAGCCGAAGGTTGCAGGCGTTCTGCCGAACGAAGACACCTGCTGGGTGGCCTCGTAGAATCGGGAGTCCCACTGGCGCGAGAACCGCACGGGAGGCGGCACAGCGATGTTGGCCTCAATCCATACAGCCATCGGCCTGGCAAGCCTCAACACAGCCTTAGCCAGAGCGCAATCAAAACTATCAATGTCAACCTTAACAAAATCGATAGGGGTAGCCAACGACCCAGGCGGCGAGCACGCGAGTCCACCTTTCAGCAACACAGAACAGAGATTCACAGGACTTGCGGCCTCGTGTACGAAATGCACTCCTCTGTGTGGCGGATGCTTCCCTCGGACACCCTGGGGATCGATAAACATTGCGGAGAGGTTGGGATTATGCTGGGCAAGCTCGTGCATCGGATCGGTCGCGAAGCCCGCCCCGAAATTAACAATCCATCCGCTGATCATCACCCCAGAACTTCGCAAACGCTCGTAAATCCACACGCTCCGCGACGAGGATGCTCTCCCCTTGAGCCCGCCTGGCTCGCGCCGGGAACCGCAGCGGCTACTTACAATATCCGCCGGCCCCCTTTGTGGGGCCACCAGGCTGTAGGACGAGGGTTTGCTGTTTGCTGTTCCCTGCACCAGTTCCAGTTTCGAGTTTCCACTGTTACAGTTCTGCTTCTTGTTGTATTACTGTTCCTTGATGTAGACCGCGCGTGGGGGGGAGCCGAAAAGTGCCCTGGTTGGCGTCTCCTGGGAGGGTTGGGGGTCGACATTGAAACCCCTCACGCAGATCGGCGGGGCCAGGGTCCAAAAACACATGGGATTTACCACATTTCCGAAATTCAGCGGCACCCCTCACGCAGATCGGCGGAGTCAGGGTCAAAAAACCAACGGCATTTGCCACATGTTTGAAATTCGGCAGCACCCCTCAAGCAGATCAGCGGGGTCTGGGTCGAAAAACCAATGGCATTCGAAACATGTCTGAAATTCGGCGGCACCCCTCACGCAGATCAGCGGGGCCAGGGTCGAAAAATCAATGGGATTTGCCAGATGTCCGAAATTGTGTGGGAAACCTCACTGCACAGCATACGGAGGCATGTTCAAAATGTAACACTGAGTTCAACAAAATCATCAAAATCTCAATTTCTCTTGCCGATGCTGCTTCACGGCGGCGCCGAGGCCTCACGATTTAGCTCTTGCATGGCCCATTATCCGAGAGAAAGGGGCCGGCGGCACGGGGCGAAGCCCCTACGGATAAAACTCATCCAGACGCCCGATGCGCCAGAGCAGTCTCCTGCTCTTCAGCGACTCACCTTCGGCACCCAGCGGGTTCTGGAAGATCTCAAAGGAGCTGGTCGCTTGAAACTGCCTCAAAAGGTTGGCTGGAGAGTCACCGCCAGCGTGACAGCCAACTATCTCTTCCGGGGCGTGCGCCCCCTGGCCTGCGTCGCTCGCTGGGCGCCCGGACAGAAGAGCCTTCCACCTCCGCCTAACCCTTGCAGCAAGGGCGACCGCCCGCGCATCGCAGCAGTAGTCGAAATCGAGCATCCGCTGCGTGCCCTCGTCCCAGCCCCAGCAGCTGAAGCCGCGCTCGCCCGCCTTCTGCCCCTCGGCCTCGGCGTCGCAGCACACGTCGGCGGTGAGGACGCTGTCTACCGGCCTGGAACGTACCCCTATCCCTATGCTGGGCACCTCCCCATCACGCTGCCAATCTTAGGGACTCCCTTATTTTTTGAGGGCGCATCCCTGAGATTGTCATCGCCTTTTGGCGTGCCAACCTTAGGGATAGGGACACGTTCGAGGCTGGTACGCTGTTGAAGCAGAGGCGGCCGCCCTCGCCTGGCCCGCTCCGCGCGAGGGCCGCCAGGCAGGCGAGGGAGAGCGCGCGCAGGAGGGCGCTGGCCGCAGGGCCCGGCCGCCGCGCCATCGGGGGGTAAACTGTATTGATTACGAGCCTCGAACGTGTCCCTATCCCTAAGGTTGGCACGCCAAAAGGCGATGACAATCTTAGGGATTCGCCCTCAAAAAATGAGGGAATCCCTAAGATTGGCAGCGTGATGAGGAGGTGACCAGCATAGGGATAGGGATATGTTCCAGGCTGGTAAATTAGTGGAGTGCTGGTACGCTGTATTTACGCTAGATGTTTAAATTCAAGATGTATGACATACTGAAGCTTGACCAAAAATGACTACGAACATTGTGGGGGGCCTCGTGGAAGCATCCTGGGCAGTCTTGGCTGCCTCTTGGGCTGTCTCGGGGCCACCTTCGGCCGTCTTGGAGTGTTCTTGGGCCCTCTGGCGCGCCTTTAGGCTCGTCATGGGGCTCTCTCAGGCCGTCTCAGGATCCTATTGGGTGCCTCTTGGGCCGTCTTGGGGCGGTTTTGGAGGCCCCCAGATCCGTATTGGAGCATCGGGAAGCTGAAAAGGCGAGAAAGCCCAAAACCTCCTCCTCCTCCTCCTCCTCCTCCTCCTCCTCCTCATCATCATCATCATCATCATCATCATCATCATCATCATCAACATCATCATCATCATAATCATCATCTTCATCAGCATCATCATCATCAGCATCAGCATCAGCATCAGCATCAGCATCAGCATCAGCATCAACATCATCATCATCAGCAGCATCAGCATCAGCATCAGCATCAACATCATCATCATCATCATCATCATCATCATCATTACCACAACCACCACCACCACCACTACCATCATCATCATCATCATCACCATCATCATCATCATCATCACCACCACCACCACCATCATCATGATCATCATCATCATCAACATCAGCATCATCATCATCATCATCATCATCATCATCATCATCAATCACCATCAATCATCAACAATCATCATCAATCATCAATCATCAATCATCAATCATCATCATCATCAATCATCATCATCATCATCATCATCATCATCATCATCATCATCAATCACCATCAATCATCATCAAATCATCATCAAGCATCAGTCATCAATCATCATCATCATCATCATCAATCATCATCATCAGCAGCATCAGCATCAGCATCAGCATCAACATCATCATCATCATCATCATAATCATCATCATCAGCATCAGCATCAGCATCAGCATCAGCATCAGCATCAACATCATCATCATCAGCAGCATCAGCATCAGCATCAGCATCAACATCATCATCATCATCATTACCACAACCACCACCACCACCACCACCACCATTATCATCATCATCATCATCACCACCACCACCACCACCACCACCATCATCATCATCATCAGCATCATCATCATCATCATCAATCACCACCAATCATCATCAATCATCATCAATCATCAATCATCAATCATCTCAATCATCATCAATCATCATCAATCATCATCATCATCATCATCATCATCAATCACCATCAATCATCATCAAGCATCATCAATCATCAATCATCCATCATCATCATCATCATCATCAATAATCATCATCATCATCATCATCAGCATCATCATCATCATCATCATCAATCACCATCAATCATCATCAATCATCACCAATCATCAATCATCAACCATCATCATCATCATCATCATCATCATCATCATCCTCATCATCCTCATCATCATCATCATCATCATCATCATCATACGGAAATGGATGAGTTTCCCCTCTCGGGGCCCCCGTAGAAGGCTTCTTGGAAGCCTCTTTGGCCGTCTTGGCGGCTTCGTGGGCTGCCTCGGGGCCACCTTCGGCCGTCTTGGGGTGCTCTTGGGCCTCCTGCGCGCCTTTTGGGTCGTTTCAGGACCATCTTCGGCCGTCTTAGGACCCTACTCGAAGCCTCTTGGGCCGTCTTGCGGCGGTGTTGGAAGCCCCAAGCGTTGGAAAGCTGAAAAGGCGAGAGGGCCGCAAACCTGGAAGACTATATATATATATATATATATATATATATATATATATATATTAAAAAAAATCACTGATTTCGGCGTTTTGGTGCCCTCGTGGGCCGCCTCTTGGAAGCTTCTCGGGGCGTCCTGGCGGCCTGTTGGTCCTGTTGGCGGCCTCTTGGGCGGTCTTGGGGCCATTGTCACCGTCTTAGCGAGCTTGGAACGCCCCAGCCCCCCCCCGGGAGGTGTCCCTAGAACGACTCGCGGAGGCCCGGGGCACCCATGGCGACGCGGGGCAGCTGCCACAGGGGGGGGAGCCTTCCCCTGTAGCCAGGTATATATATATATATATATGTATATATATATATATGCATATATATATATATATATACATATATAACTATGTATATATAAAAACACACATCTATATGTGTACATAGGTGTGTGTATGTATGTATGTATGCACGCATGCATGCATGCATGCATGCATGCATGTATGTATGTGTGTGTATGTATGTATGTATGTATGTATGTATGTACGTACGTATGTATGTCTGTAAATACAGTTGAACCATCGCGCGCGCTTCGCGCGCGCTCAGGTTCCAGCAGGCCCCAGGCCTTGACGAAGTCACTGCTCCACTGAAGTAGTGGACCACAGTCCACGCATGCCAATCTGCATTCCGAAAGGCCTTCGAGGAAAATGGTTGTGTAGGGGGGCGGAGGTTCCCAGAAGGCCTTCTGGGAGCATGGGTTTGGGGGCGTCTTGGGGAGCGCGTGCCGTCGTCGTCGTCGTCGTCGTCGTCGTCGTCGTCGTCGTCGTCGTCGTCGTCGTCGTCGTAATGTCGTCGTCGCCTATTGGGTTGCGCCGTCGTCGTCGTCGTCGTCTTCGTCGTTTCGTCGTCGTCGTCGTCGGTTCAAGAGGGCACTTGGGGCAACCTTGTGCCAAACGATCTGCGGAGGGCCGCGAGAAGGCGATCAGTCATATTTCCAATCAACTTCCCAGACAACTCTCCTGTAGCATGATCGTACTTCGAAGCCTCCGGAGACTCGCGGGCCCATGATGAACCATGTCCCGGGAAGGCTTTCTGGGGACATGGTTTGTTGGGGTGTGTTGGGGGGTCTCTTGGGCGTTCCCTGGGGGCCCCTGGGGGCCTCTGGGAACTCTCGGGCCCATGATGAACGATGTCCACGGAAGGTTTTCTTCCCTGGGAGCTCCTTGGGGGTCTCTTGGGGCTTCCTGGGGGCCTCTTGAGAGCCTCACGGGGCTTCGTGGGAGTCCTTGGTAGCCTCCGGGGGCCTACAGGCGGCCTCTAGGGCCAGAGACCTCGAAATATCGGTTGGCGGACCCCCTCTGGGCCCTCTCTTGGGGAGCTCTTGGGGCACAGTTGGGTTGTCTGGGGAGCCTCCTAGGCTGTCTTGGGGCCCTCTTCGGGGCCTCGTGGCCCGTCTTGGAGCGATGTGAAGGGCCTACGAGCGAGGCCGTGAGGGAGCGCTCGGAAGCGGGGAAAGCGAGAACGCCTAAATTCTTCAAAAACCAACAGAAAATTAGAGCATCTTGCCTCCCAGGACCCTCTTGGGGAGCCTCTTGAGTCCGTCCTGGAGCGTGTTGGAGTCCTCGTCGACCGTCTTGAGGGCAGCTTGGGCGTCTTCGGGGCCTCTTGGGACCGTCTAGGGCCCTCTCGGGACCTCCGTTAGCCTGTCGTGGCCTGCTTCGGGGCGGGCCCGGGCCGCCTCGGGACCACTCTGGGCCTTCTCTTGGCGCGCTCTTGGGGCACACAATTGGGCCGTCTGGGAAGCATCCTGGGCCGTCTTGGGGCCCTCGTCGGGGCCTCGTGGGCCTTCTTGGAGCGAGCTGAAGGGCCTCCGAGGCCGTGAGGGAACGCTGGAAAGCGGGAAAAGCGAGAACGCCAAAATCCAAAACACTCGGAAAACGAGTGAATCTTGCCTTCCAGGGCCCTCTTGGGGAGCCTCTTGAGTACGTCCTGGAGCGTGTTGGAGTCCTCGTCGGATGTCTTGAGGGCATATTGGGCCTCTTCGGGGCCTCGTGGGACCGTCTTGGGCCCTCTCGGGACCCCCTTTAGCCTGTCGTGGCCTGCTTCGGGGCGGGCTCGGGCCGCTTCGGGAGCTCTGGACCCCCCCTCGCAACCCCTGGTGGGCACCGATGGGGGGAACAGGCAGCGACCCGCCCCCCCCCCGAGCCTACTCCGAGATAGAGAATCATGTTCCCTGGAAGCTTTCTGGGAGCATGATTCGTTCGGTTCTTTAAGAGGGGGGCCTCTGGGGGCTTACCGAGGGGCACTTTTGGCCTTGTCGGCAAGCCTATTGGAAACATGGTTGGGGCGGAGGGCAGAAGCCCAAGGAATCATGTTCCAAGAAAGCTATCTAGGCCATCCGGAAAATACGATTTACCGAAGTGTCCTTGGGCCCGCAGGGGGCTTACCTGGGGGCCCCTTGGGGGCCCATTGGGGCTTCCGGGGGGCCTCCTGGGAGCCTCTCAGGCCGGAGACCTTGAAATGTCGCGCTCTTCGGGCCCTCTTGGGTCGCTCTTGGGGCTCTCTTGCCCTCTTGACTTATCTGGGGAGCCTCCTTGGCCGCCTCTGGGCTTTCTTGGGAACCTCTTCGGCCGTCTTGGAGCGATCTGGAGGGCCTCTGACGCGGTCCGAGACCGTGGGGAG